AGCTTGGTTTATTTTTATGTTAACTATTATTAACCTTGCGAGTGACAGTGAACTATGATTTATGTAAAGAAGAGAAATGTCAGCTTCAAATAGTTAAAGCTGACAGTTTATCTATCATGTAATTTACCTAAAAAAAAAGGTAAATTTTTCAATAATAGCAAAAAACACATTGCATAATGACAAAGCAAATCTGAGATAAAGTGAGCATTAACATATGAGGCCTGAATGGAAAAAATGTAATCAATAATATTTAACCCTTATCCCAGTGACATTTCACAACAAAAGAATATTCTTATGACTAGCGATAAGGAGCTGGTGAGTGCTGTTTGACGTGTTGTGGAGGCCAACCTCTGTTGTTCTGTGAACTGTATATAAAATGTTTGTTCCTAGAGCTCACACACTCAGTTTCTCCCAGCCTCGGACCTTCACCTGACATTCGCACACAGCTCAGGTAAGATCTTAAATTACTTTTTTTTTTAACAGAAAAAACACCAAACTCAATTGAAAATTTGTACTGTTTTAGCAATGTTGATATTTTTAAACACAGTTTTCTGTAATACTCACTCCAGCATTAATTTTCACTCATTTTTATCATTTTTTTGTGTTATCCTAAATCAGAATGTATTCTGATATCTTTACAGATTGCATTTACCATATGCTTGTTGTCCGTATTAAAATATATATTTTTAATGATTATGACATGGTGCTGAACACATGCTTCGCAGTGTCTCACAGAAAGCATTTCTGAAACCAGGAAAACAGGTGTGACAATATTTGCTACAATAGTTAACCCTCACAGAATGCAAAACTTTGTTCTGTCGCTTTCTTCTATCTAATTTAATAAATCTGTGACCTTCTAACCATTTCACAACTAAATGGGGAACTTGCTTCAAATCTTAAGAGTGAGGAAAAAAAGGAATCGAATTTAGTTTCCGTTAACCTTTCAGTATAAAAGGTGATGACATTTTTCAACTTTAGAAATAGAGTGAAACACACTCTCTACGTGTATTAAAAAGGCTGGATGAACTGAGACATGTATAACTGCTGCATAACATAACTTCTGCAATCCCCCCTTTATCTTCTAAAGGAACCATGTCTGCTACGTACCTTCTTCTCCTGCTGGTCCCCGCGATCTCAGCTCAGACTTTTCACTGGGGTGCCTGCCCTATTCCAGAGGTGCAATCTAACTTCACCCTTCAACCGGTGAGCAAAGAGATATATGCATCCAGAGTAAACATTTTTTAGTGCAGAACTCATAGCTGGGTGGTTTTTTTGTTTGTTTGTTTGTTTTTTTTTGTTACAGTACATGGGTAAGTGGTATGAGATTGAAAAGCTGCCCGATATTTTTGGAAGAGGACAGTGCATCAGGGAGGAAAACACCATGATGGAAGATGGGTCTGTTCAAGTGTCGTACTCACAGGTGTGGGACCCCCAGAACCAGTAAGTACTGAAGGATCAGGTCTATGGATTGATGACTGGAATATAGGTTAGATGGACTGATACTATTCATTTGTCAGTAGAGTTAGATAAGCTTATGTTAAGAAATCAGTTTTACCCCGGTTCTTTTTATTCCTCGAGCATCCAGAGATGGCACCGGACTCAGTAGTCATCAGTGTTGGTCAAGTTACTTGAAAAAAGTGATCAGTAACTAATTACTGATTACTTCCCCCAAAAAGTAATCCCGTTACTTTACTGATTACTTATTTTCAAAAGTAATTAATTACTTAGTTACTTTTTAAAAACACGATTTACAACCTGAA